TGCTTTTTTTACAAAATTTATTTGCCTACTAGCCCTTCCCTCCTTCCTCACGGGGTTCAGAAACCTAACGTAGTTGTTCACGGTGTTTAGGTGCAGACCAATGATGTTGCCGACAGGAATAGCCACATCGATTGTCCTGGTGGTCTTGGTATTCTTGATATAAGTCTCTGTTAAGAGTCAGGAGTACTAAATTTTTTGCATTTTTTTTTTTGTGGCGCTACTTGAAACTGATATTTAAATACAAGACGAATCCAGGACGGGCGGACGATTTTTCTTCCCCTCCCTCCTTCGTCAGTAAACCTCTCCCCTCGCCGTGCTCGCTACCCACCGCTCGATTGTTCCGCTACCCGCTCCCCCTCCCTCCACTAGTCAACCCTAAAACACAGCGTTGAGCGGGGCAGGGGAGGACAGGCGGTATCGAACAGAGTTTTCTACAGTAAAACAGCTGCTTCCTGAGTCCCTGGGATCCCCTCCCCACTTCCCCCTTCTCCCTCCTCTGGAATCGCCGATGCTTAAATACGATCCTAAAATGCATCATTTCAACGTTTTTTGATAAATTTAAAAAAAATTCAGGATCGTTTGGCCGTGGAGGAGTATTCGATGCACTGAGGGTGAAAAGTCAACAAGTTGTTGATGTGTACGAGTTAGCCGGGAAAATGGGTGATTTGCATGTTGGCGATGCACACCTGGTTAAGAATATTGCCGAAGAGTTGCCGATAACTCCTTTGCGACAAGGTTTGAAGATTTTTTCCCTTTTATAGGTCGTCCTAAGTGTGGTATTTTTTAGGCATACTGATTTCCGCTGTATTTATTCTTGCTATAAACGAGTATTTTCACTTTTTAGATAGATAGATTTCTGGGGATTCCTTGGTAGATTTCTGGGGATTCCTTGATAGATTTCTGGGGATTCCTTGATAGATTTCTGGGAGTTGTAGATAGGTTTCTCGGGATTCCTTAATAGATTTTTGGGGATTCCTTAATAGATTTCTGGGTGTTGTAGATAGATTTCTCGGGATTCCTTGATAGATTTTTGGGGATTCTTTGATAGATTTGTGGGTTTTGCAACATGTAATCTTAGAGAATCCTTGTGATCTTTGAAAGTTAAAAGATATTAGGGAAATTAATGCTCATTAAGGGACAATAAATACCAAAAGACTTTTTCTAAACAGTCCTCAGAAGGTAGTGACTAGTTGCAATCCTCAGAAGAGAATGACCAGTTGCAGGTTCTCAGAAAATAATGACCAATCGCATGCTTCCAAGAATAGCAGGAATTTGTTGTTGAAATTTGCGATTGGTCACTGGCTAATATTGCTTTATGAAGATGGCTTAGAAATCATCAAAATCCTGAAATTTAGCTTATTGTGAAAATCATGATTTTTTTTTGTGCATTCAGGAAGTAGTTTTCGAAACGCCGATGATGATGATGAGCCAACAACTTCCGGGCAACATAGCAAATGGAAGGTTTCAGCTGTTTTGCTGGTAGCACAGCACTATCGTAAACGAGGTTCATCTTCCCGTGTTTGTTTGTCTGCTTTTTTTTTTCTTTTTTTTTTTAACGGAGAAATTTTAAAGCAATAGAAATCTTGGTATTATGCATAAGCTTGTTGTTAGCATGGTTTTGTACTTTCATCCCTTAGCAGTATCATAAATTTGAAGATGAAATAAGCCAAGATGTACTGGCAAAATGTCTTCGAAAACTTGCTTCATACGCGATAGATTCGGGTGCTCGAAGTATACATATGCCACGTATTGGATACGATAAACGAAATATCAGCTGGTATGCCATCGAACGGCTAATTTGCCGAATTTTGGTCGCCCGAGGTATTCACACTTACATTTATTATTTCAACCGCAGAGCCAGCACCAGTGCTGCTTCGGACATCGCACCCGGTAAGTCGTAGAATTAATAATTTCTCGTAATTTTTAATAAATATCAGATAATAATCGGCATTTATCCAGTGAAGTCGTTATTGTTTTTCATAAAGTATTTGTATTTGTAAAATCAATTTGGAAATTACTGGTATTTGTAGATTGTAAAATTTTTTTGTTCTATAATTTTTATAAAATTTTTTACAAAATTGTGAAATTATTTTTAATTATTTTTAATAATTTATTTTTAACTGATTAAAAATTGTAAAATTATAAAAAGTTTTATAAAATTTTTCGGTTTTGTCTTATTGGTATTTGTAAAATTTTATAGTTGTTACGAACAGCAATGAAAATAGCAACCCAGCTAAACGACGAAAAGTGGAACAAGCTGAGGAATGAGGCCGTGACGAGCGGCACATCTGAGGTAAATAAATGAGTTTTTTTTTTTCAGAAGTTTGCTCTTTCTGTCTTTATTTCCAGTGTCGGATAAATTAGTGAGTTAAAGTCAAAAAAGTCTGTAAATTAGGCAGATACTTTTGAATTTTGTAAGCTGTTTTATCCTAAGTTAAAGTTTCAGTAGACTACCGTATTGAATAAATTAAGTTTTTTTTGAATTTAATAATTTTTTTTGAATTTC